GTTTTTTTTTTTGTGGGGGGGTTTCTCAACAACAGGCGGCGTGATTTTTTTTTTTTTTTTGTTTTTGTGCGGGGGGCAAGCGGGGGGGGCAATATAAAATCTTGAAGAGTTTTATCAGAAAAGGGGGGGGGTTGGAACCTTTTTTTGGGTTTGGCCGCCAACATAAAAATACAATATGACGTTCAGCCAGGAGAAATGTGCAACCCCCCTTCATTGGGTTTTTTTTTCGACCTCCCGGGGTTTTTTTTTTTTTTTTTTTTCCCCTCTTTCAACCACCAGTTTATTGACCCCCTCTGGGGGGGGGGGTGTGTTGTTGTTTTAAAAACCGGGAGCGCCCCCCCCCTTGGAATTTTTTTGGGTTCCCCTGGGGGGGCGCTTTTAAAAATTAGGGCTGTGAAAAAGGGTGAGGGCCCCCCCCCCCCCCCCCCCCCCCCCTTTGGCCACGGCACAATGTAGGTGCCAGCCGGAAGATGTGAAGGACTTTGAGCTCCAGTTTTGGGACACGCAGCCGTCCTGCTTGGGGGGCGCGTGCTCCGAGTTCGTGTTCAGCGGCCGTCTGGACAACTTTTGCAGCTCCTGGCAGGTAACTGCCCGTGGGTTGAGCGCCCGCGCGTGTAACATTGCTTTTTTTGCGCCTTCGGATAGGGGGGGGGGGGGCGGGGGTGCACTCATAGTCGTGCATGCCGTAGTTGTTAGACCATTGACCTCGCATCCCTACAAAGCCGGGACGGAGCACGCCGGGTTCTCACCGGGCCAGGCTCTCACATCACCAAGCGCGAAGCACCGCGAGGTATTCGGCGAGTCGCATGAAGGGTGAGCTGCATCCTGCTAAGAGTGTTCGGCATCTTGTGGTTGCTTCCTTGCGTACGGATAACAGCTACGTATGACTTACTTTATTTTCTGGTGCTTTCACTTCCAGAGACAGTTGTAAGCACTGTGTAACTGCCTCGAGGATGCTTGACCATTTTAACACAACGTGATGCGATTACCCCTTTGCGCGGAGTGAGGGTTCTCGACCCCGCACAACACAATCTCCTCGACCACTATTCATGGATACCGCGCAAAAAAGAAAAACAGGGGCATAAAAAAAGGGGCAACCTGGTTGCCGAGCTCACGAAGTGATCGGCTTGTTTTACAACATCGCTGCCAAGCGACGAAAACGCAATGCCGATGGCAAACACCGGGGGGGGCGGCTTGTTTTACAACGTCGTTGCCAAGCGACGAAAACCCAACCCCGATGGTAAACACCGGGGGGGGGTGAGAGATGGGGGGGAGGGAGGCGAGCGGATACTGACGCTCTGCCATCCATGACCAGAAGCAGCGCTTCGCGAAAGGTTGCCATTGATGAGAGGATATAACGCTTTGCCGTCCATGACTAGCTGTATTTGCGCGCGAGAGCGTAAGGTGGCCTTTTTCGCGCCCGTGGGCCCCTTGAGAGATGTGGGAGAGGTAGGCGAGAGGGTTCTGGTACATTTTCGGTGAATGACCGCAGCAGCGTTTCGCCATAGACCTCCCGCCTTCACATAGTTGCGAGGATACGGACGTTTCGCCACATGCATGACCGTGGCAGCGTTCTGCCATAGACTCCGCCCCTCCGTATTCTGCCAAACCTGGAACGGCAAGCGTCAGGTGATTGTTGGCCCAGGAGGGTGGTTGTGGTGAAGCTGGGGGTACCGGCCACGTTAATCCCCTCCTGTCAATGGATCTCGACGCTTCACCCCCCACCCCCTCCTCTTCCCTCCTACTTTTCCCGATCGCGTAACCCCCCGCTCTTCTGTACACCATCCAACTGTTCCCTCTCTCCTTTAGCCACTATGGTACAGCTGACGGGGGGTGGGGGGGGGAGGGAGTCACACCCATCACTTTTGTGATTTGTTTTGACGCGGCGCTTGGGGCGTCTTTGCAGCAAATCGCCCCCATGTGTGAGGCTGCCGTATGCATATGTGTAACTCATGCTTTTTGGTGGGTGCAAGAGAACGAAACTATCCCGTCATGCCGGATGCCTGGAGGAGGTTCCCTCTGGCCCGACGTCGTTACCCTCCCCCCTTCCCCCCCCCCCCTCCCCGTTATACAGGCGGGAAGTGGTGTCGAGAGGATAATAAGATAACGAAACATTTTTTGGGCCACCTTTGGCAAGGTAGCAAGGGACGAATGACCATCGGTGATCGGTCGTCCTGTGGGAACAGTACTCCGTCCTCTCGAGGAGGACGCGTGGTCAATGGTCCAACAACTAAGGCATGAAAAACGGCAGTACGCCCCCCCCCCTCGTGTGCTAAATCCTTACCCGTCAGAGGAGGGAACCGCCTCTAATCCATCAAAAATATATATAC